CCGTGGGCGCTCCCGCCTCCCCTATCCCGCCGTGGAGTGGTTTGGCCCGGAGGAGGTTTCCCGCCGGTGATGTCAGCAAGGGGCGCCCTTTGATCCCACGGACGTCAAGGCACAGTGGCCGCCGAGCCCCACCGGGAATTGCGGGGCTCGCACGTGTGCGAGCCCATATGCAGCCGCACAGGTCTTTGTACCGCTAGAGAGAGGCACTGGGCTGCCTCGCTGAGACGCGCCCCTCGCCCTCCCCACAGGCGCCACGTCCCCAGGACCACGTCGAGAGAAGGACATTACCCCAGCGCAGCATCCTACACGTGCCATTCCCAGTGGGAGGAGCTTGCGAGGCGCTGGACTGGAGGGAGAGCAATGGAGCAATCCCCGATAAGGGGGTCTGGGTCCCAAAGCAGGGAGCTGGGGGTGTCTCTGCTGGGTACTCTTGTTTCTTGTTCCCCCTGCTTCCCGTGTCCTCTTCTCTCCGTTGCCTTCTGTCAGGCCAGAGAGGCCAAGGGCAGCTCGAAATTCCTGTGCTGAAGGTGTCTACAGCTAGTCTGAAAAAGCTTCCTTCTGAAAAGGTGACTTTTTTTTTTTTTTTCCCAGAAATATTTAATTTTTTATGTGTTTGATAAACTACCAAGGGGGTCTGGGGGAGGCAGATGCCTTCTGTGAGGGATGCTGCTGCAGGAACTAGGACGAGCTGGCAGCATGGCATTAGACCTGGGTCTGCTTAAATGCCCCCCGGGCTCATCCCTCTTTTTCTCAGGCTTTACCTTGCAAGGAATATGGCATTAGGGGACAGCTGCCGATCCCTGTTGGTGTTCCAGTGCCTGCTATCAAGGTTTTTTTTCCAGCTTGCTGTCTACTGGGCTTAGGATGATTATAGCCATGATCTGGAGACAAGAGAGAATAGTAGAATCATTTAAGCGGGGAAGGACCTCCAGGATCATCAGGGTGGAAAGTTTTGTTTGGGTGCTGGGCATGTCCTTTTCTTGGTGGGGTCCTACACCCCAGCAGCCCAGTGCACCAACTATAAAACACGATGGGGGACACTCAGGAAAAGGGGCACTGGGGAGGCTAAGGATGCTTCTAGTCCTGTCACATTATGTCCATGACCACATGGAACCAAAAACCCACCTCTCCAACTGCCAGACAGTTCAAGAACTGATCAATATGAATGAATAGTGATCTCAAAAGTATGGTGCAAGCATTAAAAAAAAAACATTCCAGAGCAACCTCAGACAAGTTGTCTCAGTTCAGCAGCATCACAGGCTGGGCTCCACTGCTGAGCAGAAGTCAGGTTTTGGAGAGGATCTTACCTCTGTTCTTTGTGCTGTCAGGATAAATTACCTGCAGGCTGCCTGTGTGGGTGACATGTGACCTTGTTCTAAGCTATAAGCAAAGGGGATTTCACAACCTCCCTGAGCTCCCAGAAAGCTCTTGTCTGATTTGGTTTTGGTCACATATGTAGGCATGCCCCTAGGTACAGAGGAAAGGGAGTTTGGACCTCTCCAGGGACAATATTGGCCTCCAGGGCTGGAAGTAAATGCAAGGTGCTATCAGAAAGATGAGACTCGTCTTTTCTACTGGCATGTCATAAGATCTCTGACTTTCTAGGTGCTTATCTTCCCTAAGCATAACAGCTGATCTTGCTTTCCCCAGTGCAGGAAGTACATCTTGGCTTGGGCAACACTGGTTTATCCCTGTCCTTGTTCTAGCAAGTCTTAAAATCTTGCAGACTTGTTTTTCATGGGCCTGGTCTTTATTTTCCCCTATAAAAAATAAACATGCTTCTTTCACATCATGTCTTCTAAATCTTTTCTTACTGCTCTCTCCTCAAGCCTCTCCTTGCTCCAGCTCTTCCCCACTGTCTCCTGCATACTGCCCACCACAAATTTGCTCAACTTTCTTTGTCTCCATTCCAGCTACATTTGTCATTGTCAGGTCATTCTTCACCACAATTTTCATAGTGCAAGGAGCTTTACATCTATAGAGCATCTATAGAGCAGCTGCAGTTTCAAAGGTGGGTCCTAGATCTTGGTGCTTAAACTTACACCTGGCTGTGTGTAGGCTCATCTAGCCCTCCCTTGTTATGTGCAAACAGGATCCCAGAGAGTGACCAGCGTTCTCAGGGCCCGGAGCACACTATAGAAAATGCTGACAATTTAAGATGAAGGAATGGGTTCTCATTTGGCAATCCAACAACTGGTTTATTGAACCCAGCCTCAAATAAGTGCAGGGACAAGAACCGAGGACTGGGCTAAGAGCACAGGGTTAAATGAGGGGCAAAAGGGACGAATCTGAGGGTCGAGGTCTAATAGGGACAAGGGAAAGTGGTGCAGGAGTGGATAAGGGTTAGGAGAACCAAGGGGATAACAGGGGTGGAACAGTGTAGCAAAACAGAGCCAATGGAGGTTAAGGAAAGGAAGAACATTCTAGGAAGGGCACTTGAATGGTGAATGGGGATGAACAAGGGTGACATCAATCCCCTCACACTATCAGAACACTAGAACCCAAAAGGCACCAACATGTGGCTGCAAAAGGCCTATGGGAGGAAGGCCTTTTCTTACTCTATTCTAGAGGGGCATTTCTCTACTTTTGCCTCTGCCCCTCCAGGGTTGAGGCATTTTGGTAACAAGCCCCTGGGCCTCCAAACTCCCTAAGCAAAATACTCTAATGTAAATGTTTTCAAACAAACTAAAAACCCTGAGAAAGATAATTAAACAACAGGTAGGTAATTAGTTCCTCACTAACTTTTTAAATTTTGTTTTCTGTAAAATTAAGTAGCCTGGCCTCAGCAGAGAATGCTGGGAACATGGGGGAGAAGAAAGGAGGGAAAAGGCTGGGCCCCAGATTTTTCTGCTTTCAAGCACGTGGGGCATTACTTGAAGATCTCTCAGCTTTGATTCATATCCTTTCCACTTTAAATAAGCACAGAAGAGACAGAGGCTTGACTGCCATTCAAGACTGGGAGCCCTGGTTCCTTGTGAGGCTCTGTACCTGACCAGGCTTGTCTGCTCTCAAGTCTGGGCACACTTATCAGAAGGGCAAACTTGTGACTGAGAGTTTATTTTTATGCTTGTTGTGCATGAACTTCTGTAGTCAGCTTGTTCTCCCCTTTTCAGAAGACCAGATTCTTCTGGAACGAAAGAGTGGTCGGTGATCCAAGGAATCCATGAGCTGTCCCAATGGCCCTGCCATTTCTGGCAGGATTTGGCAAAGAAAATCCCTGACAGTAATGGCCAAGGGGATAGGTAACCTGGGTTTTGCTGCTGACAGATTAGAGACTTGGTAACAAGGAAGCTGCTGGCTTTGTGTCCTGCTCAGGAGATGAGGCAGCTGGGCCCCTCTCTGAGCTTCAGGTCCTCAGATCCTGTCAGGCATTTTCTGGCATTCAGGTGTCATTCCTGATGGCTTTTTGTTCTGCCCTCCTGCTCCATGGAAAAAAACTTGGATTTTCCCTAGAGCTGGCTGCTCATCCTCCTCACCTCCCATTCCAATGGATTTCTTGGAGCTGCTCACCACCTAGTGAGCTTAGAAGTACTTAAGTAACTAATGAATGGGAGTGCAATATGTTTGTTATTTTCAGGGAGTTTGGTTTAGGCCAAACCACCTCTTCATGTGATCTCCAAGGAGGAAGGACAGAAGGTTTCCTGCTTCTTGCTGTACTGCATGTGCTTTTCTCTGTTCTTTTGAGTGTTGGCTTTACTTAGCCACGTGTGCCCATGCTTGCATGACTATTGTAGTGGCCAACAGCTGGCTTGAAGGCCTCATAGTTATAATGAATTCCAGTTACATAACTGAAAAGTAACTAATTATATAAGTACCTTGACCAGTAGATTATGTAACTTGACCTACACTGACAAGCAGGCCCAGGCCATTGGGGACACGGGCTGCTACTGGCTGGTTGGCTGGGTGGCAACTGGTTCAGCCAATGGAGATTAACTGTGCACACCTTTAAATCTATATAAGGAAAAGAACACTCAATAGAAGTTGGCTGCTGTGCATGAGCTTTGGTGTGTTTATTTGTGTCCCTGTCTTCAACATCAAAGCAACGCATGACAATAAAAAAGGCATTTGTAAAAGAAAAATAAGTCCCTGATGAAGCTATTATCCACACATACTGCTCTGTTCCCAGGATTGGGAAGAGAGGTGAGGTAGCTCCAAAATGTGAATCAGTGCTTACTTGGCATTCCTTGGGGTGATTCAAAAGCCCTACTAGCCTTCTATGGAAAGTAAAATCCTTCTGAAAATACACAGAACATATGATTAATTTTAGGTGCATGTGACTTAGTGGAAAGAGAGAAGATTCTTCAGGAATTGATCGCATCTGACTGGTGTTTCCACAGGCTGGGAACAGTAAGCAAATGGAGATGGAGATGATGGAGATGGAGATGGAGATGGAGATGGAGATGGAGATGGAGATGGAGACAGAGAGAAGGGGTCTAGGTGAAAGGGTGCATAGGCTGTGAGAAATACTTTTTTTTTTAGTTTTTTTGACCTGGTCTTACCCTGGAGATGCTGATGTTTTAAGTGTCCTGCCTGGACTGTTAATCCTTTTCCAATGTTGTGAAAATGCTCAGGACCACCAGGCTGTTGTTACTAAAAAATATGGCTTTGACTGAAGTTTTTCCAGCATCTAATAAAAACAATTATTTCCTCAAACTCCCCTTCCTTGGGATTAGGAATGAGCTGAGGATAATGATCCTTCCATCTCCTTAGTCATTTCCTCCCAAGCGGTCATCCCTGCATCAAGAAGGCATTTGTACTGTGTTTGGTACTGCCAGCACTAACTCTACTAACTCTACTCAACACAATTCTAAGTGCCAACATTTTCAGCTTGGAAGAGTATGTTCTGAAGCTACCATCTCTGGGGAGATGGACAGCAATCACTAGAGTGTCACAGTGGATTAGCAGAAGAAAATCTGTGGCAGTTTGATTCTGTGCGGCACAGATGGCTATGGGCATGGTGGGTTTGAACTTACTGGTGCACACGCATCCCATCACCTGATTTCTCCCATGAGCAATGCCATCACCCAGAGTGCTGGATGCTTTCCTGTGGGATGCCTTGTGGCCCCCAGGATGCCCTTTTCCCTTGTCAAGTCACCAGGAGCTCTTCACCTCCCCACCATCAATCTGCTGTGGGGCCTCCTCCCTTCCTGGGCAGCAGGCTGGGAGTGCTTGCCTGCTCTCCCCTTCTTGCCTTACCTTGTTTTTGGGCACCTGGGAAGTAGCAGTGAGCCAGGACTAGTGGCAAACATGGGGATCGTGGTAAGTTTGTGGGAGGCTGCCCTGAAACAAGTTCACTTGAGGTGAAGTAGGGCATAGATTTAGGTGTTTAAAACAGGTGGCATTGCCATAGATAGCTGAGATAGCTTTCTGAAGCTCTCAGCTCTCATTTGTCAAGCATTTCAGTCACTAAAGCATTTCACAAAGTGGAGCTCTGCCACTTGAACCCAGTATCTGTCTTGTTGAGAAATGAGTAGCAGCAAGTCTGGGTAGCAGATGGTAGAGTGTTCCAGGCAGTTAAGGAAGAGGTAATGATAGTGACACTTCTGACATCTTTTTAAAGAAACATGCACATCACTTCATCTCAGATATGAATATACAGTACAGTGGGGATGATTAAATAGAGTACTTTGTATTTAGAAATAAGACTTCTACATGAGGCAGCCAGACTTCGTCTTTACTTGCTCAGTACCTCTCTGAATCTACTTTCTGTCACTTCATAATGTTTTGAATACTTATTCGTGCTCCAAGGACCTGCTATATGCCTTTTTTAGGCAAAGCCATTTTATTTTCCTTCTCTGTGTGTTAGTGACTTGGAAGGGAACCAGTGAATAGCTCTCCTTGGAGCCAGTGCAACCACTTGCACTGCAATGCTCACCTGTATCTGGACAAGAGGAGAATCATTAATTTCTATTTAGCACATTTAGCAAACATTTCTATTCAGCCATTAGTCTGCCTTTTGAGACACAGAAATTGACACGTTTTCCATTTAGGATGTTATTGTGACATGGCTGTAGCTTTTGAGCAGCTGTCAGATGGTGACATGATTTTCAGGGGTCCTTACAAAGGTCAGGTCTGGCAGGGCTACCATTTCCTGACTTGCTGGAAAGACCTGAAGCACCTTGTGATGCATGAGTGGTTCACCTGCTTCTGCTCAGAGCCTGAGGCAAATGGGAGGCTAGTGGAGTGAGCGCCATTGAAAAGACTGGGATTTGCACAATCTTTCCAGAGCCCAAATCAATGGAGGTGCTGCCTCTGTGGAACTTTTGGTGGTGAGGCACTTCCTGGCACATAGGCATGTAGAGGCAACAGGAGTGCCTCTAAGTGCCTCTAAGTGCCTCTAAGGCTGTGCAGTAGCATCATTCATTGTCATTGGTCCTCCCTGGTGCCCCTTCAGAGGTGATCTGCAAGTGCTGCTCTCTGACACATGCTCCAAGGGGTGAAGATCCATCCTCCTTCCCAATGAGTGCTTTGAAATATCTTAGGCTAAGATAAGGACAGTCCTCTTGACATAAGCATCATTTTTCTGTCATTACTACTGTCTGGGCTCCTGTTGAAAAGCAAAGGGATGGAGAACTGTGGTCTGACATAGGGATGCCAAGGCTGGGCACCGCAATCCTCATGTAAAATGATGCTAGTTTTCATCTTTGGAAGTAAATGCAGCTTCTATTTTTCATGCTCTCTTACCCTGATTTCATGGTACTTTGGTGCCTCAGTAAAGAAACCTGCCAGTCATCAGTTTCCAGGCGATAAATTTGTAATTGAAGAGGGACTGTCACCGTGGAGCTGGCAACCAAGCCCAGGACTGTACTTTCCCCCGGGGGTGTGCTCAATGGAGGCACGCTGGTTGGGCTGCCTGGAGGTAGGACTTCAGGCAGCTCCCACCTCCTGGTGGCCATAATCCAGCTGTGTATGCGTCACTGCCCCTGCTGATTGTGCAAGTGCCCCTGTTGCCAGAGTGACCTGGGGCTTTTGTAACCCCACTGGCAGAACTCTGGGGGGCTTTGCCCTCTACCCCACCTTGACCCTGGCTTTCCCCAGTGGCTTTGCTCAGCTCTGACCAGCCTCAGCAGGAGTCAGAAAGCCTGAAATTCAGGCTGGGAAGTTCTTGGTGCTGCTAAGCACACAAAATTGGAAACTTCCTTTTGGGCATCTTGATGGAGTTTTGGGCTTCTTGTGTGATCTGCAGCCACCCTGACCTTAGGGCACCAGATTGCAAGTGGCTGAGCAGCCCCTGACCCCTTTGCCCTGGTCCAGGCAGTGAGATGGCAAAGCTTAAGGTTTTGCTAACTCCCAGCCACAAATACAAGGGTTGGGAACTGGCCACTTCTCAAGTGGCTCACTGAGCTGTGTCCTCTCCCCAGCTGTGTGCCAGAGGCACTGCTTTGCTGAGGTAATGTAAACAAGTCATGGCAAAGGCCACCTGGCTGTGCCTAGGTTTATCACCCTGCAAAAAAGACCTGCTTGTTCAATAGCAAATTCCTCTGTGAATTCACAATGTGAATTGCATAGATTTAATTATTAATCAATATTTGTCCTTCCAGGGCAGCTTCAGGAGACATGGAAAGGTTCTCTTCCCTCCATGGGTACAACCTGGAGTTTGGGTGAATCTGCTGTTTTCCTCAGAGAACAGCTGTACTTTCTGCCTCTATTGTGTTCTAGTTTCTTTTTTTGAAAGAAGTTCTAGTTTCACCTCTGTCCCAAGGATATCAGGGGATTGATTAGGGTTCTCCCTAACAGACTTTCATTAGCTCTAAGTCCAGAAGACAGTTTGCAGTGGAAGTCCAACTGGGAGCTGATCCCTGCAAGGTGAGAGCTTGACATGGCATGCTTCCCCTCTTCAAGGAGCTGTCAGTACTGTCTTCTGATTTCCTTCACTGCCATGTGTCAGTCTCCCCCAACTTCTCTTCAGCCTGTTTTGTGCTTTACTGCCCTGGGGTTCAATGTGTCACCATAGCTCAGACCTGGCTTTTGGAGCATGTGCCACCACTATCTCCTGCTCCTGGGTGTATGGCATGGAGCAGGCAGCCCATGACTGGCTCTGACTGATGCCAGAGAAGTGCTCCAAGGCAGGAATAGTCTGAAGAAATATTGGTTTTATTATCTCTTGGCTGTTTGGTGAGTTGCCCAGGACCCTTCTGAGATCCTGCTGAAATTGTTTAAATGATATTTCATCCTTGGCCTCTGGACATAAGGTAGGGATGCACTCACTGACAGACAAGGTGAGGGCAGTGAAAGAGTCATGCAATAGATCCACAAATGTGATATTCTAAAAAATCCAAAGATACTTCTGGGATAATTTCAGTATTTCTGTTGGATGGACAAGGGCAGTTTTGAATAACTCATCCTTTGCAAGGAAGCAGAGACTGCCCTATGAAGGACACTTCACCTCAGGAAATTAGGACCTTGTTCAACACTAAATCTGTTTCCCCTCCACTGAACTGAGTCCAGATCAGCAGAAAATTCCTCCTGAAATGGACAACAAGCCCTGGGCATTAAAATTCATGGTGGGAGGACTGTTCAGGCAACTCAGAGGCAGCCCAGTGACCTAGTCCAGCAGCAAGGCTGCACCGAACAAACCTGTGAAACAAAAAACATGCCTGCAAATGCAGTGAAGCCAGGGTGGTTGACTCCAGCAAAGCTTGAATGTGTGTCCTGGAGGAGAAAGACTGTTTTTCAATCTGTGACCTAACTGAGCAACCTTTCTGTAGCACCATTCAAGATCCAAAGTCTAGTAAAGTAAAGGTCTGATTTTCACTCAAGCTCGGGGCTTTTAGGACACTGTCAATGTGCAGTATCCTGGACTGGTGTCAGTATATAGAAATCCTGGAAGCACTTATTCTGAAGTACAGAGCAGGGCAGACATGCAAGAAAAGAAATGCACTCACCACAACTGACTGAAAGCCTGTCCGGCTGCTGGCAGTAGCCAAGTTTACATTATCACCAAATCTTCTGTAATTGCTATACTGACTGTTGTTGTAAATGTAGGAATTTACCATTTGGTTGTCCACATGAAACAGCATAGATTTATTGCTCTCAGTTTTTATGGCCTTTCTTGAAATTACCTCTTGTATTGTCACCTTCATTTTAATCGCTGAGAGTCATTATGAAGACCAGCTCCATTTCCAGGTTCTGAGATGTGGTTTACAAATAGTGTTCTCCAATTTAATGTCCTTTTCTTCACTGCACATGCTTTACTTGTTGTTAGGGGGTCTTCAGTCTTCGTTTGGGGGTCTTTTGTCAAAGGCTTCTTCTCTTCCTTGTTGTCCTTTGGGTAACCTTACAGGTTTGCGCATGCATACTAAGTGTTGTGTTACATGTAAGTCTACTAAGTAGTCTTATATTTACTGAATTTTAGGCCCAATGCGTAAAGTAGTTCTAATTTTGTCCATCTCAAGGTCATTTTCATCTTGAGACATCACCTTCCAAACTACATCCTGTACCTTAATTTTGACATGTAACATCTGTAAAGGGGTGCATCTGCCTTGTAACAGTAATTTTCTTGATCATTTCTAATAATAACTTTCCAGTTAGTTGCAATTTAGTTAGCATGAATCAATTCCATTTATTACAGGAGCAACCAGTGAACCCATGAATGCCCACTGGAGTTGCAGGTAACCGTAGAGGGGACATTCCACCCGTCATCCCACCCTAACTAGAGAGGCATATCCTACCCCAACCCAAGTTTTAAGATGGGTTCAGGAATGTTGACTGTAGAACAGGACGTATATGGACATTTTAAGTTAATTTTATTAGTTCATGGGAAGGAGGTCGGGAAGTGAGAGCTTTAAATCATCGTAAAATGGGTCTGTTGTGATTTTCTCGGTGGCACTACAAGTGGTGCGTGCACTAACATCTATACGATGGACTTCTGGGATTCAGTGGGGGGGGAAGCTTTATGATTTAACAACTAAGAAGGATTCTGCAGCGCCTCGAATGCTCCCCACCTTCTACACAATATTGGACGTGCTAAAACTCAAAAAGTGCCACCGTTGCCGCCACCACCATATCCTCGGGGAGGGAGGGGCCCCTTTCACGGAGCCAGCAGCTGCCAGGCCAGGGTGGAATATGCTCGTGGCTTCTCTCCCTGCCTCCTGTCGTGACCCCAGCTTTATGACCACCTCCCAACCTGACTGTCCCCTACCTCTCTGACCCTGGGAGTGGGACACAAAATCGGAGCGGAGTTGGAAATGCAGGAGCCCTTGCAAATTGCAACAAAATTGCCATTTCACACCCCCCTCCTTCTTGCCCCTTGGACTGCCCTGAAGTGGAGACAGAAATGGAAATGGAGCTGGAAAAGACGCTGCGCTCGGAGGAAACATAGGCTCACCCTGTTACTCTGCTGCCCCGTTTCTACCTCCAACTTCTCTGCATGGGTCTAAAGATGCCTCGGTCCGTACCATTTGCGACCCTCGGCCCCCCTCCCTCTCGCCCTCCCCCTCCTCTCCCCCAGTACCTCTGTTGACCCATCTCCCTATTCATTTGAAACAAAGCTAGCTAACAGTCGTGCTCTGCAGCACACTCCAACCAACCACGGAGTGAAATTCCAATCTGGGTGAGATTTCCTCACCCAGCCCCACCTCCAGCTCCCCCCTTCACTCCCCCGGCCCCTGCTCTGCTCCCTCTCTCCCTGCTCCTCCTCCCCAAGGCAGGCTGCACAGGGCTTGCACCGCCCCTGCCCGCCCCTTCAGCCCCGAGCCACACCCCTCCTGGGGGGACTAGATCCACTCCCACCGCCCTCCCGGAAGCCCCGGTCTCGAACATGGCGGCGCCCATGCTGGGGGCCACAAGGGTTGATGCTGGGGCTGGGGCCGGATAACATGCACTGCCACTACGTATCCAGCAGCAAAGGCACTGTGTTTGTGCCCTCTCCTCCCTCTTCTGAAGAGGATTTAAGCCCTTCTGGTTCCAGCAGTTTCATTGATCCATGGGAAAAGATCAGGACTAGTGCGGTAAAGGAAAGAGATAGGGAGTTTTTTTTAACTTCTAAAATCGCAGCTTTTCCAGTGCTGGTTCTAGGTGGGAGCCCCTAGTCTCAGCCTAAGCAGACCATTGAAAGACAATTATAGAAGAAAAAGCTAAAGATGAATTGGTGCTAAAACTAGGCGTGTCGATTGCAAATCCTGAGTGCAAGAAAGTGTTATGAGCCTTTTCCACCAACCCTGAGCCAACCTTAATGCAAATGATTGAAGTTTGTAACTGCCTCAGGACCCCGAACACTTGGTTGTACTACATGACAAAAACAGGGCTAGGAGACCTTCTTCTCCTGTTTTAAAGCCTTTATTAGAATCAGCTTGGGGTGGGGGCCCGACGGGTCGCGCGCACACCGCCGTTGCTCCCCTGAAGCAGTTCGGAGGAGGAGGAATGCGGCTCTTCCTATGGGGTACAGTGTAGGCAAAGCCAGGACCTCCATCCTCACGGGTAAACCCAGAGTCCCCTTTTGGTTTGAAAGTCCAGGGGTGTCATCTCTAGCGAGTCTCTTATCAGTCATGGTGAGGAGAGCGGAGTTGGCGGATAGTGTCCTTTGATCCCGACTCCAGGGCATCGCTCTTGGTTTCTTTATTTCGTGTTCCGATGCTCCATGGATCGGGTTTTTCGTCCGGGATGGTGTTTTTCGGTAGCTGATTTGCATAAGCTCCGATCGCCATCTTGGGAAGTCTTCAACCCCGGTCGCCGTGTCGGGAAGTCTCCGACTCCGGTCGCCATGTCGGGAAGTCTCTGACTCCGGTCGTGATAGGACAGGGGTAACAAGGAACAGTTTGGCATGGAACTCAGAACCGGAACACTTCAGAACCTGGAACAGAGGCTGGAAAGAACACTTGCAAAACCTGGACTCCAGGTAGGGCCTATTCATATCACTACAGGCTCAGGCAGTGGGACAGGGAGTGGCAGGGGCTTTGGCAGCATTGTAGATTATACCTCAAGGGCCTCTACAACAGCAAGGTCCTAGTGCTGCCACACAAACTGTCCCCCAAGGACTACAGCAGGAAGGTCCTGGTCCACGTTTCCAATGTGGCGAACACGGACATTTCAAAAGAGACTGTCCTTGACAGCTGTCCTGCGGTGACTTTATGATGCTTGTATCCCCAGTTGCCTTGTTTATGTTACACATTAAGTTCTGCACCTTTATGACTGCCTCTGAGAATGAAGAGGGGGGGAAGAAGAAGCTGCAGTTTGTGTTGAGAAAGAGCCCTCACTGCCCCACATCCTGCTCCTGGACTGTGATGTCTGCAGCAAGGACAGACAGTGAGACAGAGCTCTCTTTTGCTTTTAGTTAGTTTTTAGCTGAAGCAGAGAAGTTCCCTGGACTTTTTTTCCTTTTTTCTTGGGTCTGTTCAAACCTACTCTGGACTGAAAACCCAAACAAACCCTGGGAGTTCACGCCTGTGGCCCACCGGGGCCTGGGCCTCAGCACTTTCCAGTGCTGGAGGGACTGATAAGAGCCTAAGCAAGCCAAGCTACACCACATGAAAAGGACTTCTTCTGGATTTGCCATCTCATCGAACAGCAAGAGGTTTTATTATTTAATATTATTCAATTTCTGTTAAATAAACAGTTTTTTCCACTTTTCTCCAAGGAAATCTTTTTTCCCAAAGTTGGGGGAGAGGCTGCTTAAATTTGCTTTCTGGAGGGGCTGCATTTGGAGGTTTTCTCCCCAATTTGCTCTAAATCAGGACAATAAGTTACTGCATTCTGCCCTTAACATAATTCCAAAACTACTAAGAAATGATATGCCATTAGGTGCACTCACTGTCTTTTCAGATGGCTCAGGGAGGTCCCATAAATCTGTTGTAACCTGGCAAAACCCTGTAACACACAAGTGGGAATCTGACATCCAAATAACAGAAGGATCACCACAAACAGTTGAACTAGCTGAAGTTGTTAGAGCTTTTTCTAAGTTTACATGTCCTTTTAATTTAGTTACTGATTCTGCTTATCCTTGTCAAGAGACCTGAAAATTAATTTCTAAAAACAATTGCTCATGACTATTTATACTCCTTGCTTAAAAATCTAATTTTTAATTTTTCTCAGAGACAGGATCCCTGCTTTGTCTTGCACATCCATTCCCACACCTCATTGCCTGGACCTCTGACAGAAGGTAATGAGCAAGCTGATACACCAGCCATGACAGTGCAGGTAACACTGCCTAACGTTTTTAAGCAGGCAAAACTAAGCCATTCATTCTTTCACCAGAGTTCTCCTGTGGTATATTGCATGTCTAAAATCTCTAAAGATTGATAGGAATGATGGGTTTATCTTTACAAACAAGCTGTGAGTCTGCTGATAAGATGCAGCTATCAGTGACAGACAACAGAAACAATGGGATGGATTCCACTAAAAGATCAAAGAGGCACTGAAAGAGCACCATGAATTCCACAAAAGTTAAGAATTAAGAAGGGATTATGCATTGGGGGGGTGGGGGGAAAGGTACCCCAGGTATCAGGCGTTCCGGGAAGCCTGTACCTCTCAAGTACCTCAGCCTGTGGAGAAAGAGAGAAGGGACAAGCAGCCAAGAATTAGGATAAAAAGGAGGCTTCGCCCTCCAAAAATTTGAGAGACCCCAGGGGAATGCCCCCTGGCCTCTCCCTTTATTGTAATAAAGAAAAAGGACTCCTCTGTCTCCTTTTTGGACATAAACCTCTGATGTTTGTGGATTGATTTTCCTGACAAGATCAAGACAAGGCAGTTGTTACCACATGCAGTGATTGCCAGAGGTAGTCGTTACCTTCCATAGGAGCAGAAGTAAACTCTAGAGGGCTTCAAATCTGGCAAAGTGACGTAACCCATTATGTGTCTTTTGGCAAATTCAAATATTTACACGTATTGATTGGTACTTTTTCAGGGGCAATCTTTGCCTCTGCGCAAGTGGATGTGGCAGCTGGAGATGTCATCAAAACTTTCTTCAAGCATTTGCAACACTAGGCATTCTACAGGAAATAAAAACGGATAATAGGCCAGCTTACATCTCACACAAATTACAACAATTCTTTAATATGTGGGAAATAAAACATAGTACAGGCATTCTCCACTCCTCTACA